TCACATCCCTGCCCCTGCTGTCCATGCTGGTGTGGAACCTCTACTACATGTTCGTGGTGGAGCCTGAGCGCATGTTCACTGCCACTGAGAGCCGCCTGGACTACCCCGACTATGCCCGCTCGGCCCACAGGCCCCGCCCCTGGGGCTGAAACAGTTCTGACCTCTTGCCCCAGCCTGGGTACCTTGGTGAGATGAATCCCGCTCTGACCCGACAGGGTCCCCTCCAATCAGGGCTTGGATTGACTGACCCCCGCCCCTTCAGCTCTCCCCGTGTCTGGGCTGGCCTTCACCTTCGAAGCCCAGGATAGGCATGGGGGAGGGAGGGAGACCAGATGTTTTCTTGCAGGGAGAGGTGGACAGTTATGTTCCTTAAGGATGCTGAGGGAACAGGGCCAAGACCAGGACAGCCTCCCTGAGTGGCCTACCTCCCTCCACTGCCACTAGCGCCCACCACTGCTGAACTCGTCCACTCTCTGGCCGCCTGTGAGGTGGTGGGCAGAGCCATAGCCAAAACGCTGACCACTTCTGTGCCAGCTGTCTAAGCACAAGGCCTCAAGGAGACTGGAAATACTGCTCTTGCCTAGAGATAAAGGCTGGGCATCGGATCAAATGGGACTTGGGTAAAACCATCCTGGGGCCTGTGTTGAGAACCCTCCATGACTGGCCCTCACAAGCCCTTTAGACTCAGTCAAGACTATTACAGCTGCCCCAGCACAGAGCTGCTGCCTCCTGTCTTCCGACCAATTAGGCCCCTGTAACTTCCCACTTCCAAACTGCTCAGAAGAGAGGAGCACACAGGGAAGCCTGCCTCCCATGAGATGTGTGTGTGTGTGTGTGTGTGTGTGTGTGTCCATCCATGTCCATGCATGTGGTGGCTTGGGCGTGGTTGGAAGGCACAATGGCTGGTGTTAACCCCATGTGAATGTGTGTGTGTGGGGACTACCACAGTCTTACTGGGCTCTTTCTTCGTGTTTGCACCCTATTCTGAGTGTCCCTTCCTTGTTTGAGTCACACTGAATCAGAAACCTCCCTGCTCCACATGATGGAGAGTGGCTGGCAGGAACCTCGAGAGAGAACCAGACCTGGTGAGAAAATGGGCCATTCACAGACACCTGCCTTCCACGCCCATCACTTTAGCCCTCTCATTCCCTGGAACCAACCCAACAACATTCACAGAGAGACAAGTCCTGTGGAAAAAAGTAAGTCTATTTCAAGCCCGCAAAGCAGCAACCAGTCGGTCAGCCTTTCGTTTCGCCTCTGAGTCCTACCCAAGAGAAATGGGGGCTGGAGGGGTGGGTAGGCTCCAAAGAAGGGCACCCTCCCTCTAGCAATAACCCTGGTCCTGGTCCCTCTCCAGAGTAGGAAGGTGGCTCCCAGGAGTTGAGGCTAGTCTCATGTTCTTCAGAAAAGCAAGATGGGAGAAAGGCGTAGCTGGCTGGGAACACTGACCCTCAAACCTGCAGAGGTTTGAGACACAGCACGGCAGGTCCAGTAATGTCCTTCCGTCTAGAGAGCGGGCCTCAATTTATGGGCTGATATTCTGAGTACCTCTTGGGGCCCAGCAGCAGAAACAGGCCTCCTGCAAGCAGCATGAATCCCGGAGCACCCAGGGCCACTGCCATGATGCCTAGGACTAGGGGGGACAAGGCGTCCACTGGAGGGGTACCCACACCAAGGAGCATCGACCTAGAGCAAGCAGAGTGAAAAAGAGAGGTGAGCAGGCTTAGGAGGGGAGGCTAAGATGCCCAGGCCTCCTCCACTTCAACTTCCCGGTCCCTTGGCCCAGGACCTGACTCACCAGCTGAGGTAGTGTTGGTCCCAGTAGCCAGGGCCTGTAGAAGCCCCAAATGTCAGATTGAAGGCACAGAAGTTGTTGTGGGATCCAAAGAAGGCTCGGACAATGGGTGACTGGGGGAGAGGGTACGCCAGGGTGGGATGAAGAGGGGAAGCTTGGCAGGGAAGGGCGGATTCTCGGCCCCCCTGCTTCTGGGAGAAAGCCACAGGTCGCCACTGCACAAAGCCCGATGGGAGAGAGCCCCATAGCAGCTGGTCCAACTGGGGAGAAAGGCAGACAGTGCAGAGTGAAGAGGACCAACCTCCGCCTGACCCTTCTGTTACCCCCCGCCTTTCTCAGACTTCATCTGTCACTAGTCGTCCCGAGTCCTAGGCCTGGTTCTAGAACTCACGGGCTGTTTGCACTGGGACCTCAGTCTCACTCTATAGAGAGGGGAGCTGGGCTGGATGAACACTGGCTCTTTGCAAGCCTGCACTCAGCTCCCTCCTCTGCGCCCCTAGGCCTTGCACATCCCCCTTTCAGAGCCCTGAGTCACACTGCGCTGCCTGTCTTCTGTCTTCTCCACTGAGGGCAGAGACTGGGCCAAACTCATTAGCATGGTGCCCAGTACTTAACGGAGCTGAATAAAGTGTTGCTAAATAGTAAATGGTTGAACGATTGTCTGAGGTCCTAACCGGGGTTCCATCTACATTCACCCACTCATCTGTCTCTCCACTGGAAGCCTGACCTGGAAGACAGCAGGTGCATATTCATCGTCGATGGAGTGCTGCTCCTGCATTGAGGGGCAGTCAGGGCCCTGGCCCAAAGTGGCTACCTCCAGCCCAAAAAGGGAGCGGTTTCCTCGGGGAGAGGCCCCAACCAGGGCCACCTCTAGCTGGCAGGTGTCCATCGTGTGCAGGAGGCGAGGTGGTTGGGCTGGTCGGCCAGATCTGGAGAAGGCCTGCACCTGGGATGGAGGAAGCATGGGGGGGGCGCGGAGCAGATGGATGCCTGTCCTTGAAGGCCACCCCCATCATTAACTCCCACCCTCATAACTCAGCCTTTTGAGTTCTTCTGGTTCCCATGCCCTTACCCTGAAGGTCAGGCTGCCATTGGCAAAAGCCCGGGTGGGGTCCTGATTGGGGTGGCCTCTAAATGTGGCACTCAGGGTGGCAGGATCCAGTGAGTCAGTGATGTTGTTCCAGGAGAACTCGGCCAAGGAGTACGGGGGGTACGGTTTTCCTGGAGGCTCTGCTGCCACATCGGACGTATTGGTGCTGTCAAACTCAAACAGCTGGTGGGTGGGGTGGGACAGGACTGGGCTTGCCTGAGTCCAGCTTTCTCCTGAATCACCCCACCACCACCACCACCACCCCCACTCACTGGACCCCATGCTCAGGCTCTCACACCTGACTCTACTTCACCCACCCAGGCTTCAGTTTCTTCCTCTAATTTGATGAGCCCTCTCCTCTTCCCCTTGGTTCTCCCCCAACCTCCTCACCCTGGTAAAGACAAGGGCAGAAGAGAACTGGATGCTGTCTTTGGGAAGCACCATCAGGGCCCCATCAGGCTCAGGGGAGAGCAAGCGGCTCCAGTTGACACTCAGGTCGCTGTGGGGGGTATTGGTGGCCACCAGCAGCACCGCTGGAGGCCCCAGGCTGCTCCACACATAGTGCAACGTGGAATTGGTGCCCACTGCTCGGATATGAAGCAGGTTTTGGGGGAGCCCCATCGAGTCAGGGATGACCTCCAGAGTCACCTGGAACATGGAGTAATGGAGGGTCAAGAGAGCAGGATTAGGGAGAGACACAGGGCAAAGGAGAAGCTTGGGGGCTTGGAAAATGCTGGGAGGCAGGGTGGGGCCTAGGAGAGAAGCTCGTGTGGGAGGTATGTGAATCTTGGTGTAGGGGCAGAGGAGGGGTAAAGGAGAGGGCGGAAGAGCCAGAACTGCTCTGACTGGTTAAGAGATCAGCGCATAGATCTAAGAGGAGGAAGAAAAAAATAACATTGCCTGGACCGTGGTTACTCAGGGCTGAGTCAGGATCCAGACTTCCCAAGAAGACAGGAAGCCCTCATACCCGCCCAGCACCACGGCTGGCCCCAACCCCACGTTAAAGAACTCCTCTCTAAGCACCACCCTCCCCCGTCCACCCTCCACCCCTTGATTGCCCTGGATTCCAACCGCCCTTCAAGCCTAGCATTTCCTGAAACCCCTACTGCTCTAGCCCCTCACCTGGCGGGTCTCCTCCCCCAGCAGGCCAAGCGGAGCTGCCAACAGAAGGCTCAGGAGGAGAATGGGGCCGGGGGCACAATGCCCCCAACCCCAGCGGGGCTCCTCACAGCTGCACATGCAGCCCCAGCTTCAGAGGACGGAAGACACAAGTCACGTGACTGGCAGACTCAGCTGATCTCTTTAAAGGGCGGAGCCATCACACCAGTTCTTAAAGAGACCGCTGCACTTAACCCAGCTCTAGGCTTGAGTGAGCCAGCGGTTCTCAGCCTGTGGGTCGCGACCCCTTTGGGGGTCGAATGACCCTTTCACAGGGGTCGCCTAAGACCATCCTGCATATCAGATATTTACATTATGATTCATAACAGTAGCAACATACAGTTATGAAGTAGCGACAATGAATTTTATGGTTGGGTCACAACATGAGGAACTGTATTTAAAGGGCTAGAAGGTTGAGAACCACTGGATCATAGACTCAGAATAGTTAGAAGTTTATTCCCAACTGGGTTGGCAAGAAAGACATCTCAGACTAGACAGATAGGCCAACATATTCCTGACCTCTCCTACCCAACTGGTCCCACCGAACAGTTACCTAAAAGTGGGCATGATGTCTAGATTCAAGATCCAAATGAGATCCCCCAAATGACTCTAGTATAGAAGGCACAGAGAGGAATTTGAAAGAATTCCGTGGGGAAGACAGCACATTCTAGAACAGTGATGGCAAACCTATGACGCGTGTCAGAGGTGACACACGAACTCATTTTTTTGGTTGATTTTTCTTTGTTAAATGGCATTTAAATATATAAAGTAAATATCAAAAATATAAGTCTTTGTTTTACTATGGTTGCAAATATCAAAAAATTTCTATATGTGACATGGCACCAGAGTTAAGTTAGGGTTTTTCAAAATGCTGACACGCCAAGCTCAAAAGGTTCACCATCACTGCTCTAGAAGGTTCTTTTTGTCAATTATTTATAGAGCCCCCAGGTGGAATTAAAGAAAAAAAAAGATAACTCTGAAAATAGGATATGAGAACAAAACATTGTCATGTCCAGCTGAATGAATGTACTTTGTGTTGTGCTTGGGTTTTTGGCTTAATCTTATTTTCACTAATAATAAATGCATATGGTACAAAATTCTCAAGGTACCACAGGGTATCACCCCTATTCCCTAGCATCTTGGTTTCTTCCCTGAGACAACTATTACCAGTTTGTGTCCTTCCAAAGATAGTCTATGCGTACTCGAGTATATAATACATTAGGTACACGTGTGAAATACCATACAATGGCATCCACCGTTCTGCAGTTTTCACTTGTACATTGAATACTGTTCAGTGTCAGTGCAGTTGGTTGGAGCTGTCTTACTCTCCATAGAAGTATTTCACTGCAGGAGAATGTTGCATGGATATATTTAGCCAGAACCTTCATAGTTCCAACATTTTGCAATGGCAAACAATGCTGAAAGGAATATCTCTGTATGTAATGTTTCATATATTTTTTAATATTATTTTTAAGTTTATCGATTTGAAAAAAACGATTTATTATTCCACTTACTGATGCATTCTTTGGTTGATTCTTTTTAAAATATACTTTTATTGATTTCAGAGAGGGAGAGGGGAGATAGAAACATCAATGATAAGAATCATTGATCAACCGCCTCCTTTACGCCCCCTACTGGGGATCAAGCCTGCAACCCGGGCATGTACCCTTAACTGGAATCAAACCCAGGACCCTTAAGTCCATAGTCTGATGCTCTAATCCAGTGATGGCGAACCTATGACACGCGTGTTAGAGGTGACACGCGAACTCATTTTTTTGGTTGATTTTTCTTT